AATCAACAATTAAAGTAATTATATAATGATTTTAATAAAATAATATTAAAGAATAGGAAAAAGATATCATAGATAATTAGATATAGGTGTATGATAATAATGATAGAATTATGAAAGTTTTAGAATTAAATAGTAACGGTGTTATAACGGTATAAGGGTATTTTAGTCTAACAAGAATGTAGTAGGGACAATTTTGTCCATTACAATTGAAGTGTACAACATTTAATAAAAAAATGTATACCTTTATTAACATACAAATGTAAGCATTGCCATAAATGTGCCTATAGCTTAATGGGCAAAGCTCTTGATTTCTAACAATAACTTGGTGACCAAGAGTACATTATATATATATATATATATATATATATATATATATATATATATATATATATACATATATTGTTGGGTAATAAGGTGGAAAATCCCAAAATAATAATAATCCTACGGAAAGATTAATATTATATGGGAAAAACAGAAAACTGGGAAGGAAAAGGTAGAATGTTTGGATATAGTTTAGCACGAGTTCGAACACAATGTTCTTTTCCTTAAAACCTTATTTGCTACCTCCCACAAGTGCTAGGAGCGTTGTAGCCTAGGTTTCCCAGGATAAAACGTGCTACGATTCCTTGTTTAAGCACCTAATAAACAAGGAACCCAGCAAACAAAGCAAAGTAGAGAACACTAGTTGGTAAAGAAGAGAGTAGAAGCAGAGTTTTGAGAAGCTGAAAGCTACTGGAATTCCTTTCGTTTTGTTGTACTGTGTTAAAAAGCTACTGCTCTACCTCTCTTTATATAGGGATGTTGGAAGGGATAGCATTCAACATGGCCTTTAATTGGTATTAAACCAATTGTATAACACCTGTAACGGTCACCCACTAAGTAGGATTAAACTCAGAAGTTAAAATTGGAATTAAACAGTATTAATTCCGTAACAGATGAGTTTAATCTGTACAACAGGCTGAACTTTCGGGTTTCAGACCGTTGGGGTGCAGGTTCACACGAGAGCACACGAACCAGGCAACACGAGAGTACATCTCTCGTGCGCGCTGTGGTGCAACCCGAGAGTGCACTACTCTCGTGGTTACAGATGCACGAGAGTTGTGCTCTCGTGTTGCCTCTCTTGCTCCTCTATAGCACGAGAGTAGGTGCTCTCGGTTCGGTTCTGGCCGAACCAAGTGACTATACCAGTTGGAAAATGATACCGAAGTTTGGCATAACTTAGCCCGCAAGGCCAGCCAATTTTCAGACGACATTCGTGCCCGCAGGTGCCGGCGCACGCGAGCTCGGGCTTGAATCAAGCCTTTTCGATCTCCTCTAGTTAGATTTTGATTTGCACTCCCCTCCCCCCCCCCCCCCCCACGCGAGAGAGCCTCTATGCTATACAATTCTACAAGCTTCAAAAGAGCTCATGTATATAAGGGGGGCAAATCTTGTTTCCAAACCAATGTGGGACAAAGTCCACTATTTTCCCTTCATTTCCCAACTCAAATGGGTCTACTTTGAGAATCAATATCTCATTCACCCATTATCCGTTTTGAGCGTACAATATATCAATCTCTTCGTCTCACTACGAAGAACCCGAATCCACTTTGACCCGACCCAAATGGGAAGTAGACCCCACTGATAATTGTACCACAAAATAGCCACTTAATATGCCATTTTAAGCTAATTTTTCCAACATATATATATATATATATATATATATATATATATATATATATATATATATATATATATATATATATATAAACCGATCGGGTTACCTAAACTGAGTACCGATCGGTACTTCGGTTCGGGTAACCCGAACCGAAGTGCCCAGCGCTAGCTTAAATCCCTTTATTCATGCTCAAAATGGGATCTTAAGTTGATAAGGACGAAAATACCCTTACAAATTTCAGATTTCGGCATGTCTTAAAAGGAGGAGTGACCGACATGATAAATTTTGACACTAAAACAATAGTCGTGGATGAAAATTTAAAGGAATTAAACATATGGACCAAAACTATCATTTTGCTAATACTCGTGAGACTAAAATTTGTATTTGCTCATTAATATTTCTACTTAAATATATAAATAATTAAGAGTTAAATTCACTTTTGGTCCTTCATTTATTGCGCATTGGACACAATTTGCCCGTTTTTATTAATTTTGTCACATTTTGTCCAGACTTAATAAAAGTTGGACACTTTTAGTCCACCCTTACTTTTGGCGTTAAACATCTGTGAAATAGAAGGGCAATTTTGTCCTTTCATGTCAATTCTTTATCAGTATTACCCCATATTAGCTGAGTTACAGTATTGTCTTCATCAGTATTTCTTCGTTGAAACAAAACAACAGACACATAAAATGTAGATTCATTCTTCATCTACTCCAAGATCACCAGCAAACCGAGTCCACAAAAATCCTTTGCATTCAGCAGAAATGAAGCATTATATAACATATTGAGCAACATAAATGCATATATCGATGAATTAACAAAGAGACTAGCGATCCAAATTTAAAGAATTTTTTTAAAAATTTTGAATTTATGTTTGGGTTACAGAAGCAATACCTCGACGACGTGTTTGTAGCGCCAGAGCTTCCGGAGCTCCTTTACTACGCGGTTGAGCTCGTATTTGCGGACGGCATGGCCCTCCTCCTTTCACTCCCGTATAGTAATGACTACACTACGCTTAGCGTACACGAGACTTAGAAACCTCCACCCAGAGTGTCTCTGCCGCCCTTACTCGTGGTCGTGGGACTTCCGCTGTCGCCTCCTGCAGCCGTGGGCTTCGTCGCAGCCGCCGAGAAGTGGCGCACGGCGACGACGGATGTCCGAGCCAAACGTAGAAGCATTTTCATCTTTTTTCCATTGCCCTGTTTCTGAGAAGGGCAACACATTTGGGCTTGGATTATGAACACTGAAATGTTCCTGGGCTGTTACCCAATGTTCAAATTCCGACCCCATCGTTGCAATATCCGACCACCTTGAGCAATCCAAACTGATCCATAGGAGTCGGTGGCGTTGAAGTCCGATACGACACTGTCGGAGGACGGTTTAATGGTGGTAAACAGTGAAGCGTCAATTTCGCTAAGTTGAATCGGAGCAAGAACATATATGAGTTATGACTCGATGCCGTAATAGAGTGCTTCGTTGATGAGCTCCTGATTTGAGAACGTCTGGCCGGTGGACGGGAGGCGGTTGGTACGGAGGAGGGAGAGAACGGCGGAGAAGATTGTCGGATCGGCGAGTCCAGTAGTGTGGCCCTTATCGACGATCAACACAGCACCATAGCCATTCTCAACACAATATTTTTCTACAGTATTTATTTTCTTGTTTTTTGCTATAGTTTTCTTGTTTCTAGGATAATTTCATCTCCGTTGGGGAGGTTTATTTTTTGGCACATGTGCTTGCCTTTCAGATCAGGACTGATGAAGAAGACCACTAAAATGACAAAAATGCCCTTTAATTTCACAGAGACTTAACGCCAATTTGAACGATGTACTAAAAGTGTCCAACTTTTATTAAGTCTGGATAAAATGTGGCAAAATTAATAAAAGCGGGCAAAATGTATCCAACGTGCAATAAATGTAGGACCAAAAATGGATTTAACTCAATAATTAAATACTAATGTGGGTAGGGTCTCTATAAAAATAAAAAGTGTGTTAGTATAACATGTTACAGTGATAATTTGTACATTGTGATTTTTATCAATGTTGCAAAAATCGCGCCTAGGCGCTAGGCGCCATTGCGCCGCCGCGAGGAACGGCCTCCGCAGCCTCCTCCGCGGCCGGCCGCCTAGACCGCCTAACCGGCCGGTTCGGCGGGTTTTTTTTTTTTTTTTTTTTGAAAATGTCGGAAAAGTTTCGGAAGGCATAACTTTTGACTCGGTTGTCCAATTTGGACAATTTTTTTTTTCAAATCGCGTATTTTTTCATTAAATAGGTGGTTTGGTCCACTAATTTCTCAAAAAAATGCTTCTTTAGCTCTTAATTTTAGTTTTTTATGTATTTAGATGGTTTAAAAAATCTTTTGAACACTTTTACAACCACTTTCGTAAATAATTTCTAAGAAATAACTATAGAAACCTTATGTTTTATTACTAAATTTTAAAAATTTTAAATTTTAAATTTTATTTTTAATTAAAAAAATAAAAAAATAATAATAAAAAATAAAAATAAAAATCGGCGCCTAGTCGCCGATTAATCGGCGCCTAGGGGGCGCCTAGCGTGTTTTGTAACATTGATTTTTATTATACACTAAAAAAATATTTATAATTATACCCTTCATTTTTTTCCTTTTAAGTTACTAACGCCTTTAAATTAATTTTGAAAGAAAGTTTCTCTTTAATAAGCACTCCGGTGTTTGTTGGTTGACTGTGGAACGTGGATATTCTCCGGACAAATAACAACGCATTAGCCAAAACTTTATACAATTTTTTCTCGTCTTGGGGGATAGGTCGGAAGCAGAGATAAAAACAGACCCCATTAGTAAAAGAACAATACTGTTGTTCACGATTTGAAGAATCGAAAGAAAAGTATTATTGTTTATAATTTACAGATTCGAAAGTATTATGAGGAGGTTTCAATTTGCTTTTTTTTTTATACGAATTGGAGTAGTGATGGAATAGTATTGTTGAATAGGAATATGAATTTTAATATTGTTGTATTGTATTATGAATAGGAATTTTAACGTAGAATTGTAGTACGAATAGGAAAGTAGGAAACAATATATTGTATTAGGAATTGTATTACACTATTTTACCATATTACGCAAACACAAGTATTGTTGTTTATATTTGCAGATTCACAAGTATTATGGGGAGGTTTTGCTTTTTTATACGAATTGGAGTAGTGACGGAATAATAGTGTTGAATAGGAATAGAAATTTTAAACAATATATTTTATTAAGAATTGTATTACACTATTTTACAATATTAAATAAACTTTAATAGTATATGATTATTTTGGGTGGAAAGTTAAAATGAAAGAATTTATTTTTATTAATAGTATAGATAACCAAATATACAATTGGGTCCCTACAAATTAAAAATATTGTGCAGTCGCTCAATTTGCACTTGTTTAGAGTCAGCCCGGAACATATCCATTTTCTCTTCTTTTTTTATTTACTTAAATGAAAAAAAAAAAAAAAAAAAAAAAAAAAAAAAAGGTGCATGTAATGATGTAGTATTACTTCTTAAATAATATAGGCTCTCCCAAATAGGAGGTTACAGGTTCAAACCGTTGTAGGAGCAGTGACTCTTTGTTTTTCAATAAGTTAAAAAAGTATGTATAGATAGATACTACACAATTGTTATGTTGTGGAACCATGATCACCTTACAAGGTGAACACGGTTCTAGGTTCATAATTATAAAACTCTATGTTCATAATTTTTGAATTTCATATTCACAATTATTGAATTCTATATTCACAAGTAGTTGTTTTACGCGTGCTCAGCGCGAATGGCCTAATGCCCAATGATTATTTTTAAATAAGAATTTCAAAGTATATCAATGCAATATTATATCGAAGATGTTCATGCATAGGTAAATAAATATTGGATTTGTTTATTTAAATCGGTAATTTAAAGTATATAAATGCAAGATAATATATGAGAGATTGATTATATTGTCACTAAAATAAATGTTTGCACCTTTGTAATAACGATAGTCTAAATACTTAGTCTAAAAACGATAGTCTAAATAAATACTACTTTTGTTTTAAATTTCTTTAATTTTTCTTAATTCTCTTTTGGGTAACATTGTCATTGTCTTCATCTTCAATACATGTCCCTTTTTTATATATTTTATTTGTAGTGTGTCATATGCAATTGGGTTACTGATAGTAGCATAGATGGATTCATCGTGCAATGAGATTATGGTGTAGGAAGCTTTAGATTTGTCTTGTGTATATGATGAGATCTTAGTTGTACTATTAATTCTTTAACTTACAAGCACCTATTGATATTTGGTAGTGGTAGTTTTTCCCCTACATGTTTCATACGTTGTGAGATGTGTGTCGCAGGTTATCATGTGAAAGTATTGAACAAAATATTAATATTTATTATATTTGTATAAAATACTTGGTAAATACATATATATAACATATTTTGTATTATAACTTTGATATCTACAATCTACAATTTTAATAAGAGCGAATATTGTTAGACCCTTAACTGGAACTAAAAAAATGTCGGTACAACAATATGCTCTACAAGATCATACTTTATGCTCATTTAATTGTACATCACCAAATTAAAATCCTAATATACCCTCATTCTTCTTACTAATAGCAAACTTACAATGTTAAATTTAACAGCTTCTGTCAATTGAAGTTGGCGGTGGCAAATTTGTAGTTTTAATGAAATTGAATGGCAGTAAGGAGAAGCACAACAAGCACAGCAAAATCGACAAAAGGAGGGCCGGGGATCGTCCTCCGCCGGAGTTAGGAGGAGGAAGGAGATCGTGAGAAGCACAACAAGCACAGCAAAATTGAACAAAGCCAAGGCGATCTCAGAGATGGGCTCCATCTCCCGCATCAGCCGCGCCACCTCCTCCGTCACTTTCTCTTTGATCTTCTCCGTTTCGAGCTCCTCAATGCACGATTTGTAGATACTCTTCATGGATTTCAGCCATTCCATATAAGCTCCTTGTTGCCTCAGTACCCTTCCTCTTGCTCCGCTCCTCGCTCCTGCAAACGCTCATCCTGTCTACCCTCTGCCGCAGCCGTAGAGCGAGGAAAGATAATCCACTCTCTCTTCATCTCTTTATCACTGAATTTATCTATGTATATCGCTTAACTTTCAATGTTATGTATTTAGTCGGACTAATTATTTGACCGAAGTTTATGTTAAATTTTATATTATATATTTTTTAATACATTTTAACATATTCGTAGTATATGTTTAACAATTATGTCAACTCTAATTGAGATGGAGTTCGAACCTAAGGGGGGTGTATTCAATCATGACTTTTGTAGAGTTTTAAAGAATTTTAAAATGATAGATTTTAATAAACTTTGATTGACTTTCATAGAGTCGTTCAAAACTTTTTAAAACTTTATAAGACTCTGTAAAAGTTTATATAAAAAACATTCATAGACTTTTATCAACTTTTTATTTTAAAAAGTCTACAAAAGTCATTGAAATTCTAAATTTAATACATCCTTACAAACTTTCAATGATTTTGATTCTTATCATTTACAATTTTCTTACAAAACATTTATAATATATCATAAAATTCTTCTTATTATATAGTTCTTCACCCACATCAACATTCTCAATATTATTATTTTTATCCATAGTATGCTGAGACTTATATGCTAATGATGAGATAACAGTAATCTGAAATGATAGAACTGAATTACAGAGAGAGTCTAACTATACTAAAGTCTACACATTATTCTCCTATCCTGTAGGCTAGACAATTAGACTAAATCTCATCCACTAGAAATACAATCATATAGTATAAGATAAAACAACAATTAATTATATTACTAACACACCCCCTCAAGCACAAGGTTGGAGGGAAACAACATTGAGCTTGTCTCGAAGCAGCTGATAGCGTGGGGCCGGTAGCGGTTTGGTGAAGATATCCGCAAGCTGTTCCTTGGTGGAAACAAAGTTAACTAGGAAATCACCACTTGCAACTTTGTCACGAACGAAGTGGTAGTCGATCTCCACGTGCTTCGTGCGAGCATGAAAAACTGGATTGGCCGCTAGGTAGGTGGCTCCCAGATTGTCACACCATAGCGTTGCAGGAGTACCTGAATGTAACCCAAGCTCACGGAGTAAGGAAATAACCCATGTCACTTCAGCTGAGACATCTGCAAGACCCTTGTATTCAGCTTCTGTCGAGGACCGAGCCACGGTGCGCTGCTTGCGCGAGACCCAAGAGACTAGATTGTCACCTAAGAACACAGCGTAGCCACTGGTAGACTTACGGTCTATTGGGCACCCAGCCCAATCTGAGTCAGAGTAGGCATGTAGATCTGAGGAAGCCGAAGGTGTAAGTCGTAACCCTAGGTCCTGTGTGCCCTTTATGTACCGTAGGACCCGTTTAAGCAAAGTCCAATGTTCAATAGTCGGTGTATGCATAAACTGACACAACTTGTTGACGGAGTAGGCAAGATCTGGACGGGTGATAGTCAAATACTGCAAGGCCCCTACAATCCTGCGGTATTGTGTGGGATTCTCAAACGGATCTGACGAGGGAGCGACCGGTTTCGTGACTGCTGCTGGAGTGGCCAAAGCTTTACAGTCCGTCATTCCGGAGCGTATGAGAATATCCTTCATGTATCTACGTTGAGAAAGAACCAAGGTGTCCCCAACTGGTAGTGTTTCAATACCTAGGAAGAACCGGGGTTGTCCAAGATCTCTAATCTTGAATGTCGCGGAGAGTCGGTGCAGCAATGTGGTGACTAGACCCGTGTCGTTGCCCAGCATGATGATGTCATCTACGTACACTAGGAGAAAGACACGTGACGAACCCGTAGTGTAGTGAAAAAGTGAGACATCTGTTTTAGAGGCTCGAAACCCAGTAGTGATGAGAAAGTCGTGGAGCCGTTTGAACCATGCACGCGGAGCCTGTTTTAACCCGTATAGTGAGCGCTGGAGTCGGCACACATGATCAGGATGCGTTGGATCTTCGTAGCCGGGGGGTTGTTTCATGTATACTGTTTCTGAAAGATGGCCATTGAGGAAGGCATTGTGAACGTCAAGTTGTCGCATAGTCCACCTGTGAGAGAGAGCAAGGGAAAATAATATGCGAACAGTGGTTGGTTTAACCACCGGGCTAAAAGTGTCAAAGATGTCTTCGCCCGCAACTTGATTGAACCCCTTAGCAACAAGACGTGCTTTATAGCGTTCTATCGAGCCATCGGCTTTACGCTTAGTGCGAAAAACCCACTTGCAGCCGATGATGTTCATATCCGGTGTAGCCGGTATGAGCTCCCAGGTGCTATTATGTAGGAGGGCATTGAACTCTTGGTCCATGGCCTCACGCCACTCTGGGTGACCCACAGCTTGTGAGTAACAAGTTGGGTCGGTGGATGCAGTTAGGGCGTAGAACTCTTCGCCCCGGCCTTGTGTTTGGCGCCTCGTGCGCATGACATGTGGTACAATAGCCTGGACCCGCCTTCGAGTGCCTTTGGCCCGCCTAGCCGGTGGTTCTGTCCTGGCATTGGTGGGTGAATTTGGCGGAGCCGCAATAGCTAATGGCCTCGGCTCTTGTGCTAAAGGCAACTCCACAGCAGTGGGCACGGACTGTGAACCCACAACTATTGGCCCGGATCCCCAAGGTGGAGTTGATGGGCTAGCAGCAACCTGTTCATCAGACTGCATAGCAAAGGGAAATATGGATTCGTCAAATCGGACATGCCGACAGATAAAGACTTTTCCCGTAATTGGATCAAGACAACGGTATCCCCTATAGGAAACTGGGTAACCTAAGAAGACACAGGGCATCGACCGGTATTCCATCTTATGCCGATTATAAGGTCGTAGATAGGGATAGCAGCGACACCCGAATACACGAAAGAAAGTGTATGGTGGTTGAGTTTTATATAGTCGATAGTAAGGACTCTGATTGTTTATAGCGGAAGATGGTAGAGAATTAATCAAGTACGTTGCAGTTTCAAACGCACAGTCCCAGTAGATTGAAGGGGTTGAGCTTTCAGCAAGAAGTGCTAAGCCGGTTTCGACGATGTGTCTATTCCGGCGCTCAACTCGCCCGTTTTGCTCATGTGTGTAGGCACATGATTGGCAGTGGATAATCCCGAGAGACTCAAAAACTTTGTGAAGGCGGCGGTATTCACCCCCTAGATCAGACTGGATGACGATGATAGAACGGGAAAATTGACGTTCTACCATCGCCCGGAACACTTCAAAAATTTTATATATATCCGATTTTAGCCTTAACGGATAAAACCAGGAAAAGCGGGAGTGGTCATCCACAAACAGTACAAAGTAGCGGTATCCTGACGCACTAATTACAGGAGACGGACCCCATATGTCCGTATAAATCAAATCCAATATATTATTACTAGTGCTCAAAACTCTATTTAAAGGAAATCGTGAGGATTTTCCTAATTGACACGAAGTACAAACTTTTGACAAACTAGTTTTATTGTTGACCACCGGACAGTGTTTTAGGACTCTTTGCAAGGCTTGATTGTGGGGATGACCAAGGCGTTGGTGCCAGACTTCGGTGGACGCACGCGCAGACAGGAAAGCACAAGGTGATGACTGGGGAACCAATAACTTGTACAGTCCTCCCGAGGTAGACCCTTTAAGAAGAACCACTTGAGTTTTGCAATCCTTCACATAAAACAGATTTTTGTGAAACTCAAAGTAAACATCGTTTTCATTTGTAAAACGATACACGGATAATAACGGTAACGTTAAATTGGGAACACACAGAATATTGGACATTGACAAAGACTTAGAATTAGATGGGATAACCGTGTGTCCAATACGAGAAACGTCCAAACCTGTACCGTTGCCAATTTTTAGAACATCCCCGCCGGTATACGTGTCGGAGTGATTCAACATCTGCTCGTCCGGAGTGGCATGCGATGATGCTCCGGTGTCCGGATACCACACGTCCGCACCATGCACGGTGGACTCGCCGGAAACAGCAACGTTTGCATGACCAGCAGGGCGATCCGCGTAGCGTTTGTAGCAATAAAGCGCAGTGTGGCCGTGCGATCTGCATATTTGGCACCTCGGTCCGCCACCACGGCCCTGCCTTCCGCCACCGCCTCTGCCACCACGGTTCTGCCTCCCTCTCCCGCGGTTGTTATGCGACTGCTCGCCGCCGTTACGTCCACGCCCAGCGTAGAATGCGGCCGGTGCACCGCCTCCTCCAGAAGAGTCACCCACCGCAAAATCATCTTCGTGAATGAACTCCTGGGCTTGGAGAAAGTCGGAGAGCTGCGTCAGAGTCACGGGTGCGCCGGTTGCAGTGAGGGAATTCGCCATGGTTCGGAACTCCGAGCGTAGGCCGCGAAGAACATAGAGAATCTGTTCTTCATTCGACAGAGGCCTGCCAGCAAGCGAGAGGGATTCGGCAATCACCTTGCAACGGCCTAGATAGTCGGCCGGTGAACCTGGGCCTTGACGGAGGGTTTGAAACTGCCCCAGCAAACTTAGGCACCGCGCTCTCATCGTGGAAGCTAGCGTAGACGCAAGGGAATCGCACACCTCACGGGAGGTGTCTCGTCCAACGGCTAGATGCATCACCTCGTCGGAAAGGGACGAGATGATCGTGGATAGGATAGCTTGATCCTGTTGTATCCACGCTTCATAATCAGGGTTCGGGGCGGTGGTTGTCGTGGTCACGGCGGAGTTGCCGGATTCCGGAGCAATGGTGATGGTAGCGGCCGGACATGGCTTGGAGCCATCAACGAAACCGAGTAGTCCCTGCCCACGCAAGAATGGAACCACCTGGGTGCGCCAAAACAAGTAATTCCGCATGGTGAGCCGAGTAGAAACGAAGTGATGCGCCGCCGTGAGAGTATTGACCGACGGCGGAGCACCGGCAGGGACGGTGGTGATGGTCCGTTCTGAGGAGTTAGTCCACATCTCAATTGTCGGGATTGTTTGAAAGAAAACGGGCTAACCTATCGCAACTGATACCAGATGAGATAACAGTAATCTGAAATGATAGAACTGAATTACAGAGAGAGTCTAACTATACTAAAGTCTACACATTATTCTCCTATCCTGTAGGCTAGACAATTAGACTAAATCTCAACCACTAGAAATACAATCATATAGTATAAGATAAAACAACAATTAATTATATTACTAACACTAATTACTTATATATATTATTAATAAACATCAACAAAAAAAAACTATTTCATTAAAAATTCATAACAATATTAGACAACAAAATTTATAATAAAAGACTTATCAAATAAAATATTTAAAAATATAATTACAAGTTGCATAAAATAAAAAAATCTAATATTAATAATATATATATATATATATATATATATATATATATATATATATATATATATATATATATATATATATATATATATATATAATTATCCTTGATATATTGCTAGCTAGGCATCACGCAAAGAACTATTATTTGCAATAGCAATTTGAGACTGCAAACAACAACAAGGTGCTACTGTTTGCAACTCCAAATTGTTGTTGCGAATAGTAATTCGCAATACGTAGTAACTTGTTATTAAAAAAAAGGAAAAAATATATATATATTACGAATATAAACATAAAAATAATAAAATCAAAATATACAAGTATTTATATGAATATTATGAAACATATACTAAAATTTGACGATGAAAAATTTGCTTTGTTCATGTATTTAAGGAGAATTAGAGAAAGTTCGGGATAAAAAATTTATAAAAATAAAAAATAAAAATCAATATAAACAAGTAATAATGAAGTAAAAATAATATTATTTCGAATTTTTAGATGAAGATTATAAAGTTTATGAGAGAGAGAGAGAGAGAGAGAGAGAGAGAGAGAGAGAGAGAGAGAGAGAGAGAGAGAGAAATTGGTAGAGTTTAAAAATATAGGATAATGAAGAAAAAAATAATTTTTATTGAATTTAGATAGGTTTATAGAGTTTAAATAGGGAGAAAAAAATAAAGTTTAAATAGAGAGAGAAAACATTCAAAGTTGTTAGAAAGAAAATTTGAAATCTTGGGGTTGATGGTTGGATTTCAACTATTTATATTTGAGAAGGAAAAGTCTATCAAAGTCTACAAAAGTCTTAAAATTAAAAAGTCTACTAAAGTTCATAACTTTTTGAATACCACGTGACTTTTAAAAAACTCTTTAAAAGTCTTAATCGAATACCACCCGACTTTTAAAGACTCTTTAAAAATCTTGATTGAATACCGCCTGACCTTTAAAGACTCTCTAAAAGTTTGAATTGAATACCTCCAAACTTTTAAAGTTCATAAAAGTCTTTAAAACTCTATGAAAGTCATGATTGAATACACCCCCCTAAGACTTTTCTTATAGAAATTAATGAGTAAGTTAAAAATTATAAATAGTTAACGGAATCTTCCATTACTAAAGTTTATACTAACGGAATTTAAGTTATTTAAGGGGTGAAAATAATATAATAGATGGTAAATAAGGAAAAATTATTTTAAAAAAATATTAAAATCAAAATAATATGAATCATTCATTTTAAGAAACAATACTACATGCATTTTTTTTTTGTTCTAATTAAGGGCCTAACATTATTGACTCTTATTAGAATTGTATATGTAGATGTAAATTACAAAGCTCTATGTTCATAATTATAAAACTCTATGTCCATAATTTTTGAACTTCATATTTACAATTATTGAACTTTATATTCACAATTACAGAACTCTATGTTCATAATTATAGAACTCTATGTTCATAACTCTATGTTTATAATTTTTGAACTATATATTCACAGTTATGTTCCACAGCTTAATTTGCCGATACTATATTGTAACAGGGTCACTAGTACTCCAAAAAAATAAAAAATAAAAAAATAAAATAAAATAACTGGGCTAAACAGATGTTAAGAGTGAGATAACAAGAAGCTTGAGCCAATTGCCATGGAAGCAAGTCTAATAGAGGCATTGAATGGTCTGGTAATTTGTCCTGATCTTAGCAATGTGGGAAATCTTGTGCCACTCCGGGCGGCTCCCTTCGAAACATCTTTCTTCCAGAAGAGGGCAAACAATAATTTCAAACGCCTCTAAATTGTTGAGACATTGCATCGCTTCCACGGAGGGCAGATAAGCAAGATTTGCACATAATGTAAAGCAGACTGATTGAAGAGATGAGAGGCAACGAAGCCAGTCAGGAAGAGTCTCCACCCCAAATTCTCTTATGGACAGATGCTTCAAAGCTGAGAGTTCTTTGAGTTGGTTGGGCAGAGATTTGAGCCTTGCCCATCCATACAGTGTTAGGGAGACTAAAGATGCAAAAGGAGTTGCCCCAGAGGGTGTCGATGGCCATGGGAAAGAATCGAGCTCGCGTGAGAAATGGCCTATCCTTAGTTCCTTGAGGTGAACAAGCTGAGACAGACCCTCGGGGAACAAAGATGGGCACTGACGAATGCACAAGTTCTCGAGTGCTTTGCAGTGTTCCAAACCAGTTGGTAACACAATCAACTTCTCACACACTGAAATATCTAGCTTGCGCAGAGATTGTAGGCCAGTTACATCGGGCAATGCAGCCAGATTCGAGCACTTCCTTATTTCTAGTTCCTCGAGAAGACCCAAACTTCCCAGCCGCTCTGGTAAAGAAGCCAGTTTATCACATCTCACAAAGGATAAGTAACGAAGAGATGTCAGGCCGTTCATTTCTGGTAGACTTGACAGTTCTGGGCACCCCTCGATTTTCAATATTTCCAGGTGAGGAAACGCCTTCATTCGTGAAGCTGGTGGTAATTTTGCTTCAGACCATTGGGTTAGCATTGCCATTCCACTCAAAGTGAGTTCTCTTAGGGATGGGAATAAGGTAACACTACTGCTTTTGCGATCAATATTTGTCTGACAGTAGAACTCCGGGCCGATCTTTTTCACACTGTGCATCCCGGTTATTGAAACAATCCTTAGACTGGGAAGGTGTCCAAGTGTAGGAATTTGTTCACACCAGTTGCAATCCCACAATGTTATCTTCATTAGGTTCTGTAGTTTATTTTCCACAAGCCACGATGGAAACCTTGCACCCTTAAAGCTCTCGATTGTCAAGTCTCTCAAATTGAAGTGCGGCTCAAGGCCCTCTAATACTCCTTCATCAACGAACTCTTTCCTTCTTCGATCCAATGGATGCCAACGGATCTGTAAGGTATGAATATTCTCTTTCTCGTACAACTTTGCTTCTCGTGCTGCATTGTAATTTTTGACATTCTCGACGCTGTAAATGTTTAAGTGACCTTTCAGGTTGGGCAAGCATCCCAGGTCACTAATCTGGCATCGACTGTCAGAACTCACAACAAAGAAAGGTAATGTCTGGAGAGAAACCAACTTCCCTATCCCGAGAAATAAACAAGGCCGCCTGTTGTCACGAATGTCTTCCATATAAAAATGCCTCAAATTAACAAGACGATGAAAATCTCGTGGCAACTCCTCCAAGATATTCAATCGCAGTGTCTGCAAATTGTAAAGCTGCGTGATGGTATTTGGTAATCTCTTGATGGAAGTCTTTGAGATGTCAAGGCATCTTAGATGTTTCAACTTTCCTACCGAACTTGGCAATTCTTTAATTCCAAAACCGTCTAAAATCAAAACGCGAAGATGCTTAGCACTCGTCAAAATGTCTGCATTAAAACCTGCCGTTATATACAGAGTTCTTAGGTTGAGAAGAGGACCCTTTGGAACATTCAATTTAACCCCTTCTCTGCAAATTAGTGATAAATGTACAGTCTCGATATCATCATTCATATCTCTAGGATCCACATTTAAGCAGAAGTGTTTTGATACGTGCAATGCAAGATCATGCACCAGATCGTGCATCTTGCAAGTTCTGACATTACCATATTCATCCTTCTCGACATCTTGGAACAACGAATTTCTCAGCAATATATTGAAAAAGTTATTTCCCACTTCCTCCATCTCTATCTGGTCTTCTTTAGAACCCTTAATCCACCCCTGCGCCATCCAAAGTTGAATCAATTTATCCCTTTCCATTATAAAATCTTTTTGAAAAATTGCGCAATATGCAAAGCATTGCTTCAAGGATAACGAGGGCAAGTGTTTGTAACTCAACATCAATGTTGATAGTACTCCATCCATTCTCTTGGATGAACTCCACATCACGCTGTTCTCTATCATGGACCACTCGCTTTCGCTATTCCTAGAGTACAATAAACCTCCCAATGTCTTTATAGCCAATGGCACACCACGACATCTTTGCAAAATTCTTCTACCAATAGCCCTCAACCCCGGAGTCTCCTCCGCCCCTCCACTCGAAAATGTTATTTGCGTAAACAGTGACCATCCATCCTCATCCGGCAACACTTCCAGCCTGTGGGCTAAAAACGACTGCATTGCTGTAACAACTTCTTCACTCCGAGTGGTTATCATTATCCTGCTCCCTCTAGAACCACCGATTTCCATCAAACACCTCCTCATACTATCCCATTTACACTTATCTTCATTCCAGATATCATCAAGAACCAATAAATACTTCTTCCCGTTCAAATTCTGTTGCAGCTTTTTCACGATCGCCTCCCTGTTCGAGACCTCGAAACTGGTTAGGGTGAGAGACTGCACCATCTCAACCAAGAGCCTATCAACATCAAAATCATCAGATACACAAACCCACATCCTGTGATCGAAATTTCTCACCACAGAATCATTTTTGTAAACAAGTTGAGCTAAGGTTGTTTTTCCCAGCCCAGGCATTCCCACTATGCTAATCACAGCTAAATCTCTTTGATTATCAGAACTGATTAACATGTCTACAATCTTGGCAGCATCACTAGCCCTACCCACAACTTCTGATTCAACAACACAAGGATCAGTTTTCCTCAATAATTGAGCTTCAGAATCCCTACCCAAACCCTCAATTACCCTGAGCCCTATATCATTCGATTCTTTATAAAGCTTCTCAACATTCCTATCAATAATCTTGACCTTTTGAGCGAATTGGACACGAAGTAAAAGTGGGTTAGAAAGAGTGAAGAAATCCCGAACCTTGTTCTCGCTTATGGCTTTGATTCTCAGAATTTCGTAGGCGAACTCATCCAAAACATTATCGGCATCAAATGCGACAGCCGTGAGCTTCTTGAGCCAAAGCCGTACTGCCCTGGAATCTGATTGCTTGTTCTCTGCATCAATCATCAATGCTTGGATCATCTCTAGGTTTTGAGCGAGGTTTTTGAGGCTTTCCTTGAAGCCCCAAAGGGAGCATAGCTCTTCTGCGGCAAGGGAAAATAGCTTGCTCAGAACTCCCTCTGCAACGACGCTTATAAGAACTGCTTCTGCCATCTTCTGTTTTCCTGGTGCATAAAGACTGTAGCAGATATGTATGTAAAGCTGAAGTGAAACAAGTGATCAGAGTATTCAGTGTCCACTAAATTGGCGTTGATAAGAAGTGAAAAGTGAACAGACTGATGGTTCAAAGTCAACTAAGATTGGCGTTGAATCCCACTGAGAGTGAGAACTTAGGACTTAGGGTGATTGGAAACCTTGACCGGTTAAAGACTCTTTGTGCACAAAATTAATAGGTAAGGGGTGAAATTTAAGGATTGCTAAGACAATTTGGAATCATTTACTCGTCGAGAAAAAGGATTTGCACGGATTTTGAAATAGGGATATCTCTGAGCTGGGATACAAAATAAGGAAAGTGTCTTTGATAAAGGCGACATTCAATAACAAGAAAAGTGTCTTCAGCAATGGCGACATTAATTTATACGAAAAAAAAATAAAATATCAACTATATACAATTATACACAACGAAATACAGATATATAGAATTATACACAACAAAATACAGATTCTTTTTTATTTTTTTTATTTCGCAATAAAGGAGCTATAGCCTCAGCTTGTGGGATGGCTGGAAATTAGATTAGGTCAAATTTTGAGAATCTTCACCGCATTGAAATTGGATTAGGTCAAATTTCGCAGCATGGGAATCTTGGCATCATTGTACATACGGGTAGGTGGAGTAAATACAGTATTTACCGTATTTACTCCACTTTTTGCAAAAAATTAATGGAAAAGGTATATCGTCTTTCCCAAAGACGACATTCCGTCTCCCATATATCGTCTTCCAAAAAGACGATATTCCCTCCCCCGTAACCCACCTTACCAATTTCCTGATCTCGAATCCCGGTCTTAATTCTCTCCTCACTGAAAAAATCACCCGACAATTTGTAACTCGTTAAAGACTCCTTGTACACTGAGTATACAAGTAGGGGATGAAATTTAGAGACTAATAAGACAATTTGCAATTTACCTCTTCATATGATGTGATTTACTTCCTTCTACGACTCTTAAGCAGTAGATTAATCTAACATTAGAAAACTTAACGTATACAAGTTAGATTCAGTGTACACTGATTGTTCAAACTTCAAAGTGTCACTGATTGTTCAAAGTCTGTTCAAAGTCAATTAAACTTGGCCTCGAATTTCACTGAGAACGGAGGGTAATTTGGAGATCATGATCGTTTGAAAATTGTTTGTGCATAAAGTATACAAGTGGTGAAAAATTAAAGACTACGGGATGATTCACGATTTATCTCCTCCTGAGAATTGGGGTTTATTGAAGATAAGATCGTTCTCGGGCCTTAAGATTAGTCTAACGCTAGGAAACCTAATATATAAGAAACTATTTTCATATTTTCCTATTCTGTTACTAATTTTAAAGAACACTTTATTCTATTATTGATTTTAAAGAAAATTTTTTATTTGTTTTAGTAGTACTATTGATTTTATTACAATATAGCATTTGTTCTGATTTTAAATGCCATTTTTTATTATTTAAATTAACTTTTGTTTCTTTACTTATTTTATTTAATATTTTTTTTCTTTTAAATTTAATTTTTATATTTAATGATTTTTAGTGTAATTCTTAAATACATAAATTTTATACTAATAATAAACTAAATCTACTATACTAATAAGAGCCCAAGAGAGTTAGGCCTATAATAGGTAGAAAAAATGGCGGTAAAATTTTTTAATCAAATGAATTGCTCAGATTGATCAGATTTTAACTTTTCCTTAAGTTTTAGTAGGTTCTTTGTGTTTTAGTAGGTTGAGAAAGTATATGAACAGATACTACAATGTAATAGAACCAATAGCTTTCAAAAAAAATAAGAGAACTAATTCCATTAGTTATATTGTCTTTATTTTTCTCCAATATAAAAATTCTTTACATTCAAATTCATCATCAATTGATTATATTCGCTACATTGTCCCTACAATGTTTTTATTAAAAAAAATTATTCATTATCAATAAATTAATTAAGAGAAATAATTTTATTAGTTATATTGTCTTTATTTTTCTCCAATGTAAAAATTCTTTACATTCAAATTCATCAATTGATTATATTCACTACATTGTCTATTATCTTTTTTTGTGCACTATTTTTAAATTAAATATCAAAGTTATAATACAAAATAATGCTATATATTTATTTACTAAGTATTTTATTAATACCATGAAATTTTTTTAAAAAATATAATTAACAAAGTCAATCATATTAACTACTTGAGAGATTTGTTGACAAAGAGATCATTCAAATCACACAACAAATTGAAGTGAGAATATCTCGCAATGTCCTTGTTTGACAATCAGCAGTTAGCGGATTATATTAGCAGATTTGACCAGCGAATTATATCAACGGTTGATAAAAAGATATTTGAAAAAATTAGCTGTTTAGATTAACATGTAAAATGACCTAAGTGTATACATATATTTAATAATAATAATAATAATAATAATAATAATAATAATAATAATAATAATAATAATAATAATAATTGTTTAAAAAAATAAAAAATAATAAAAAAATATAATATAGCCAATCATATTAACTACTTGAGGATTTATTGATAAAAAGAGTATTCAAATCATACAACAAATTGAAGTGGGAAACTACCTCGCAATGTCCTTGTTTGGTAATCAGTACTTAGCTCTTCAATATTAGTATATATTTAATATTTTATGCCCTAATGTTTATGTCCCGTATTTGGTTTCAACCATACCTGTACAATTATTTTATTGACAATATAATCAATCTTGACTATATTATGTTGCATTTATAAATTTAGAATTACCTATTTAAATATGTAAATTTAACATTCAATTATCTATGCATGAACAATTCCAATATAATCTTACCTTGATATACTTTAAAGTACTTATTTAAAATTAAAAAAAATCGGGCATTATCCCAATCGCGCGTAAAAAACTAATATTATAAGAAATTGGATTATAAATAACTTAGTTAAGTATTACGTAGTATTAATCGTATCAGACAGAGTATTATCTATATGTCACTATTTTTTTTGGTAGGGTATCTATATGTCACTATACCTCAATCTTAAATTCCATATTGCCATAAAAAAAAATAGTTTTAAAAATAACTTTTCAAAATCAACGAAATTTAAACTAATTAAAAACAAAAGAATGGTGTAATTAAAACTTCAAATTGGTTTTGAATACACAATATTTTCCATCCCATGAGAGCACACCAGCATTCAGATTGTGCTGGAAAAATTTTCAGAAAAGATAACAAATGATGATCTCAATTGAAATGAAGTTTTTGCACTGTCGCTCTGCTTTGCAATTACATTGCACCAGCTCAAGAAATATCACAAGATTATTGCAAACAGGCACAGACATGTTGAAGATCAATCCTCTAGAGAAGTTTATTGTTTTTTCTTTTGAGTGACGATGGAAACCCGCAACCTCCTCTAGAGAAGTTTATTGTTGTAGTCCTGGACATTGTATCTGGAAAGCTTTCCCTGGATTCTTTCCATCAATTTCAGAGTGGTGAGGAACATCATAGGGCAACTGTGCAGCAGAGAACCAAGATTCACTGAGAACTTTCTCAAGTTTATCGTAGACAACAGCATTGCCATCTGGCGTAAGGTGCAAACCATCACTGCAAAATGGCGAAAAGTTGGTGTGTCAAGTTAATAGGTGCATCATAGTTCACACTTCACAGCCAGGTTTCAGGTCCAGATAAAAGAATCAAAAGTAGAAATATTCTCATTTTGAAAGACAATTATCACTAAACCAGAAGACCGTTAACCCTTACCCTTCACTGAATTTCTTATTGAACATGAACTGTTTGTCTATACATGTTTAAAGAAGTACGTATAACCACTGACCTTAAGAATTTCTTCTGCCAACCCTCTGTTTCCTGCATTATGGACCATAGATTTATTGACGGGAGACCCAACTCCCTGGCTAATTCAACACACTGCTTTGCATACTCTCCTGCCACTTCATTTGTCCTTTCTGACAATTCCGTTGCTTTGTCGCCATATAAAGACCTGCTTGGAAAATTAGAAAACTATTTTTAGGAATAACATTGATTGGTAGGCTCATTTCCCTTAGGTATCAATGCTGAAAATATGCAGGTTAAAGCTTTTGTTGTAAATACTCCCTCTCATTTTATTTAGACTACTTCCACATAGGACTCAATCTAGTCCTCAGTATAACAGAGGACTAAAGTGAGTAAAATTTTGCATAGTTAAGCAACCATTTTGTGTAAATTAATAATCAAGGACCAATATGGGAATTATGACAGTTGGGGGACCATTTTGGATATTAACTCCATTCTTAACATAGTTATTATTGCAGCTGTTTATAGTTGAAGAGAGACTATAAATAAAAATAAATAGATGCGGGACACAAAATTAAGGAAATATAGATGCACACTAGTGCTAAGTGACCAAAACAGCTAAAAGATGTTATACTGGCATTGTTTTTTTTTTTTTTTTGGACAAGTCTATGATGTTATAGTGTCATAGGAAGGCATTGATAAACATTCCAAGTAGGTAGTTGAAACTCATGTGAATGAGTTTATATTTCTATCAGATAAAATAATAAATCAAGAAAAGCAACTGCATTAATTATTGAGAATTTACATATCAACTTAAAATGGTTCATACCTAGCAAATTCTAAGCGGCCTTCCTCATCAACTGGTGGTGGAGTTATAAGCACAAGTACCATGGTGGGTGAGCATTTCTGTGAATGTTTGTGAAGACCAGTGAGAAATAGACAAATTACTTGACGGTTTCAAAGTATACATATAGGACTTGAATTTGGGGGGTCATGAACATAATTAGCATCAAACAAGAAAGATGAACAAATGCATAAAAGCAAGATGAAACAGAAATAGGAACTACATAGAGATTCCCATAATTCATTCTATTTACCAAACAATGGCTTTGAAAAGAGTAGCATCTAGTAAAATGGTGTTTCTGAAGAATAAAATTAGAACCTTGAGGTGTTGAACCATTTTTCTTAAATTTTCTTTGTATTCCTCAAGAGGCACATGCTGCCTTTCACTTGTCCTCCCAGAAACCGCTGCGTCATTTGCCCCAAAGAAAATAGTGGTAACAGCAGGATACTGGATAGATTGCTGCAACAAGCCAACGAAACCATCAATTAAAGCCCAAGATTGACCTCAAATCTTAACCATGAAATTATTATTGTTAGTTGTTATTATTTCAAGACTCATAATGATTGCCGAGAATTGCCTATTGGCCAATTCTTCCTCAGATTGCACTTACCGCTTCTCTTCATTCAGTCTATCATGCATAATTATAGATATACACATCCCCCTGCTCCCCATACCCCCACAGCACACAAAGGGGCAAAGTTTTGGATCCATCTCCACAATCATAGACTTAAAATCACAGAGCCTCTCTCTCTCTCTCTCTCTCTCTCTCTCTCTCTCTCTCTCTCCAGATTTTCAAAATCTGAATTTTCTTGATCCCATAATGACACTATCTCTAACCACTCTAACCAATAGAGTCCTTGAAAACTCCAAAAGTATAAAGATGATCAAAGTACTAACAGAGAATCTCCAACCATCTCTTCATTTTATACTTTTGGAGTTTTCAGTAGAGTCCTTGAAAACTCCAAAAGTATAAAGATGATCAAATTTATTTACCACAGAAATTAAAAGCAGCACATATTGAGATGATCAAAGTACTAACAGAATCTCCAACCACCAAATTTTATTAGAATATACACATGAACGAATACATACAATAGTCTACAATAGTCAGTAAAGGTCTAGGAAATTATTTTCTTTAAAAACAAATTGGGAAATTAGAGTATAATTACCAGAGGGAAGAGGTGATGCATCAAGAGCAAAGCCCACCTAGTGTTGTATCCACCGTACCCACGATTCAGAATATCAGCCTATACATACAGAGATATACATTCAAGAATCAAATGCATAACAAAAGCGATATATATATATATATATATATATATATATATATATATATATATATATATATATATATATATATATATATATATATATATATATATATATATATATATATATATATATATATTATTCAGAGATGTGAAAGAATGAAAATGGGAAGAGAGAATTGACCTTGCGAGAGTAATTGTTGGCAAGAGCAGCACCCCATCCTCCTGATCTGAAGGATTGCTCAGTGATGGAGTCCCCGAATAGTATTATCTGAGGCCTCATTTTTGTTCGTTCTCCACAGATCACTCCCTTGACGGCTGGGTTCAAGTGTTTAACTCACCCGATAAACTTCCCTCCTGACGATTTGTTGCCGTTCAACAATAAATGGTGCTGTTATAACTCGTAACTAGTGTATGGGAAAAATACAATTATAGTCCCACAATTATTTCTTGATAGCAGTTTAGTTCTTAACTTTTTACTGTTACAATATATACTCTTAATTTTTTAAAAAAATTATATTTGTAATTTCGGAAACAACAAAACTATTAAACTCTATTAAATTTTACTTAATACATATTTATTTTAAAATTTTATTATATTTGATTATTTGTTCTTTATAACATTGTTAATTTTGGCATTTAATCTGCAAAATAAAAAAGTAACAACATTCTTTCGTAAATTTTTCCTTTTCAATTGTGGTACACCTTCCCTATTTTCCTACACAACCCAGTTAAAATCATGTTATTTATTTTACAAATGGAATATCGAGAATAAATAATATTATAATTAAAAAAGAAATATTAAAAAGTAATAAAATACACATGTATTAAGTAAAATTTTAATAGAGTGTAATAGTTTTGTTGTTTCAGGGGTTAAAATTGTAACTTTTTTGAAAAATTAGGGGTGCATATTGCAATAGTAAAAAGTTAGGGACTAAAACAACTAGCAAAAAATAATTGAAGGACTAAAGTTACATTTTTTCCATTGTGTTATTTTAAGTTTTAAATATATTATATTAGGAGGTATGAACTCTCTTCATCTTGATAAATGATTCTAATATTTATTTATTTATTTATTTTTTATAAATAAGAACTTCATGCATTAATTCAGAATGAATACAATCAATAAGAAAATAAGGAGGATTATCAAACCATTCCCCACAACCTGACATAGAAACGGCTTCCGTGCAACAATGTGGGCAGCACAATTTGCAGATTGTTTAGCAAAACAGAAGTCAACACCATCTATATTGGATGCCACTTCTTTGACATCATCAATAGTAAAGCCAACCCAAGAATGAAAAGAGTCCGAACGTAAAGCAAAATAAACTAGCTGGGAGTCTGTCTCAACATCCACATCTCCCATTCCGGTTCCCTTTAACCAACTAAGGGCCTCCCGGATGCACATTGCCTTTGCCACTTCAACAAAATATTGACCTGGCATGGACAAACCTCCAGCAGCCAAGAATCGGCCACCGTGGTCACGTGAAATCCATCCCATTCCCATTAAGGGTCCGTTTGGAAAGCAGGAAAATGACTTCTGGAAAATGTTTTCTGGAAAATGAGTCATTTTCCGGAAAACATTTTCCTTTCCAGTGTTTGGTTGTATTCTGGAAAACTGTTTTTGTGTGTTTGGTTCATTTTCTGGAAAATGAGTAGAATTGTATAATTAAACATTTTAATTATTTTATTTAGAATATTACAACATATATAATAATATATAATAATAATAATAATAATTTTAAATATAATAAAAAAAAACTAATAATATATCAAAAATATTATGGTGGTGGTAGTGGTGTTATTTGTTATATAATAATAATAATAATAATAATAATAATAATAATAATAATAATAATAATAATAATAATAATAATAATAATAATAATAACTGGTGGTAGTAGTGGTGGTGGTGGTGGTGTGGTGACGGTGGTTGTAGTGGTATGGTGGTGGTGGTGGTGGCGGCGACGGTGGTTGCGGTGGTATGGTCGTGGTGGTGGCGGCGGTGGTGTGATGTTGGTGGTGGTTGCGGTGGTATGGTGGTGGTGGTGGTTGTGGCGGCGACGGTGGTTGCGGTGGTATGGTGGTGGTGGCGGCGACGATGGTTGCGGTGGTATAGTGGTAGTGGTGGTGGCGGCGACGGTGGTATGGTGGTGGTGGTGGTGGCGGCGACGGTGGTATGGTGGTGGTGGTGGTGGCAGCGGTGGTATGGTCGTGGTGGTGGCGGTGGTGGTGTGATCTGGTGGTGGTGGTTGCGGTGGTATGGTGGTGGTGGCGGCAGCGGTGGCACGGTGGTGGTGGTGGCGGCGACGGTGGTTGCGGTGGTATGGTGGTGGTGGTGGTGGTGGTGGTGGTATGGTGTTGATGATGTTGGTGATGGTGTGATGTTGGTGTAAAAGTTGGAAAATGACTTCCCCCCAAAAAAAGGGGAAGTCATTTTCCTCCAAAACAAGCCTATTTTCCAAAGTCAACGGAAAATGATTTCCGTTGACTTGATTTTCCAGGCACATCCAAACAGTGAAAACTTGGAAAATGATTTCCAGAACTCATTTTCCAGGTTTCCAAACACACCCTAAGTTATTACCTTCATCAAATGCTGCATCCATATTCAACTTCAGTCGACCCGGTGACGGTGCTTGCCAACGAGAAACAGCAACATTCGGCGCCACATAATCATTCCCCATCTCATTCGCTCCCATCCAATTTTTCCAGAAGCTAATTGCATAGTTAACCACTGCCATACATTCAAAAGGCTTACCCTTCCACACACGCTCATTTCTGCTGCCCCATAAGCCCCAACAAACCATTACAAACATGCATTTTAATCATCATTCAACGTAGACAATAATGCAAAAAACCACCCTGTGATGTTACCTTGGGCGAAAGATGATACTGCCAGTCCCATGGAGGTCCAGACTGATTTAATAATGGGACACTCCATGAATAAATGCTTGGTCGTCTCCCCCACTGCACCGCACAAATGACATAGCAGGCTACATGCAACGTGCTTTGAGTTCAGTGCTTCGCAAGTGGGAAGAATTGACATAGCTAATTGCCAACAAAAAATCTTCACTTTTGGAGGTACCTGCAAATTCCATATCAGACGCCATGGTCTATCCTCCTGAAATTCGCCCCTCAACTTTCTATAACAAGATTTAACTGTGTAAACTCCCTTACGGTCCCCTATCCAAACCCAAGCATTAGAAGGTTTGCGCTGACTTACCGGGATATTAAGGATAACCGTTGCATCGTGCTCATTGAATGTATCTTAAAAGCACTCTTCATCCCAGTTAGAACCCTGCACATTTAGTAGGGAAGAAACAAGAACGTCCTTAATCGAATCATGCAGATCAGTCGTGACATATGAATTCTCGGCACAAGGCAGCCAAGGGTCACGTCCGATTATAGTACTTCTGCCATCACCAATACTCCTATAACACCCCGACTTCCTTGCATCCAGAGCTTCAAGCAACCCCCGCCAGACAAAGGATGGGTTACTACCAGCAGTGGCCTCAAACAAAGAGCATATAGGATAATAACGACACTTATACACCTTTGTGACAAGAGATTCAGGTCTCGTGAGTAAACGCCATACCTGCTTGCCTAATAGGGCCAAATTCATCTCTCTTATGCATCTGAAGCCTAAGCCTCCTTTTTTCTTTGGTGCACACAGCCCATTCCATGATTTCCATTTAACGCCCTTCCCTTTAGTAGTGGAGCCAGACCACCAATATTTGTTTAGGACATATTCGATATCTTTGCATAAACCCCCCGACAGTAAGAAAACCATCATGGCATAACACGACATCGCTTGGAGTACATTTTTTAGTAGAACTTCACGGTCATCCCGAGAAAGAAATTTTGAGTTCCAACTGCGAACCCGGCTCAAGATTCTGTCCTTAAGGAAACCAAGAATCGTCTTCTTATTCCGATCTACCAATGATGGCAAGCCAAGATATTTGCTCGTTGTATCACCTTGACTCAATCCAAGAATACTTACCTCCTCCCGTCTACACTGTTGTGTCACATTCGTACTAAAGCACACAAGAGATTTTTCAAAATTTATCTGTTGCCCCGAGGCAATAACGTATTTATCTAGGACCTCTTTCATATGAAGGTTTTCCACATTATTTGCACGAAGGAAAAGAAAACAGTTGTCAGCAAATAACAGATGTTATTCTAGAAGTCCCGAATTTACTCCTACGATTATTTTCTAAGTGGGGGATTAATCCTTTTATTTGAAAAGCCCAATTCTTCTATAATTCTAGCCTAATGAATTTGATTTAGCCTAGCCTATTAATTTCTTTGAGCCCAAATAATACTAAGCCTTACTTATATAAATATATATAGATGAGTCCTAGATATGGACTTTCTTATATAAATAATCCTTGTATAAAATTTATATATATATATTAGTTCTTCTAGCCCAAGTCCACATAAATATTATTATATCTATACAAAGCCCACCCATATAATAAAACCCATTAACTAAGTCTTGCAACCCTACATTATATACATATGAATACATATATACACTACACTTCATCTTTACTACATAACCTAGATAAGACTTACACATTTCCACCCTCTCTCTTCCCTACTCATTCTCACGCCATTTTCCTCCCTCTACCTTACCAAAATTGTTCTTCATTTTCTAATCAAGAAATCAAGACCAAGATTCCATCTTTCTATCTTACAAAGCTTATGAATGGTAAGATCTAAGTTCTCACACCTCTTCCTACTCTATTTCCTTATTCTTCTAAATCTTCATCTTATTCTATGTTGGGTTTTTGTGGGTTTTGATGAAGATCAAGTGGTTGGTGAGATGCTAGGATGATCTAGAGGAGTTTGTGGTGTTGCTTTGAGGTTTTGCAAAGCTAAAGAGGTAACCCTATGTCCATGAAAACCTACTTTAAACTATACAATGTGTATTCTTGATGTTCTTGTGTTGTATGAGCATATTCTTGTGTTTTTGTTCATTTTAGAGCTTGTTGTTGATGAGTGTATTGATGTATTTGGACATGGATTGCACATTCTTAGAATTTTTCCCGAAGTTGAAATTTTCTCCAGTTTCGGTACTAACGGGTACATCTGGCGAGCAGTTTGCCACCCGCCAGAACCCCCCGTCGGTTCCTTGTTCCCCGTGGGTACTTTTGGCGAGCACTTTAGGCCCCACCCGAACCGCCCACTGGTACGTTTTGTTGATTCCTTGATTTGTTGTTCCCCGTGTGTTTGTGAGTATTTATTGATATTTCATAAGTCTAGAGCGGTGTATTATGAACCCAATGGTTAGGATTTGGAGTCTTGAATCGTGATCAATATCTAATTTTGCTATTCGTTGGATTATTTGACAAAGTTTATGATGTTCATATGAATCCTTGTGATTACTCTTTGACTTGTGTATTAGCATGTTGTTTCTTGATGCTAGTATAATTCCTTGTGATAGCCTTTGCTTGATTCTTGATTGAGTTGATAACGTGAGCTTATCTATTCGTTGTGACACTTTGTTGGAATCCGTTGTCGTTGAACCTTTGTCTTTGGAATACCCTTTGTAACACCCCTGATTTTCAAGACATTTAAAACTCAATAATAAAGGTAAAATCTCATTAAATCCCAAAGCGTAACATAAGTGTACGGGGTGCTATGCCACACCTGGGCTAGAGAACCCAGGTGCACAGGCTGTCTAACTACTATCCTCTGAAATATAAGTGCATAACATGGCACGCAGGCCGAAAGGGAAACTATACTACTTCTACGCTCCAGTTCTAGCGCGCTCCAGTGCTCTAATCCTCTGTGCCTGAAAGCCAAATATATCTGTTCAGCGAGAGATGCTGGTAACCCACACCAACGCGTTGAAATACAATACATATAGAGATATATATAGATATACGAAAACTATTTTGAGCATGAAGATATATCCTACGAACACTAGCTTTAAGACCGGGAATGACTCGACAGATAAGGCCAGACACGAGCACAGTTATAACGAGCATATGCAGTTCACAACAGATAAGGCAGATAAGGCAAAGCATAAACAATGATCACCACCCATCATAATCAATCCCCAACACAAATCCCACAGTCACATTTCTCCAAGATACTCATAATCACAGCTTATCCGTATCACAACACATAGCACACTTTGCTGGCGCCACAGGACTAATCGCATGCCCATACATGAGGGTCAGCGCATATAGCTCTGACACGGCCCCGCAGCACCCTGCCCCGTATCGCAACACGGAGGGGTCGATCGCAACCGACCGATGAACCGCAGCTCATCATAATGTTTGATCGCAACCAAACAGTGGACCGCAGCCCAAGAGTGTGTGTTACCTGACTGTAGCCAGGAATTCCCATCTGACTACAGCCAGCCTCTGAACCGCAGCTCAGGAAAGATGTCACCTGATTGAAGCCAGGAATTCCCGTCTGACTACAACCAGCTTCTGGACCGCAGCCCAGGATACCGTCATCCGACTATAGCCAGGAATTCCCATCTGACTGTAGCCGGCTTCTGAACCGCAGCTCAGGATAACCAATCCGATCGCAACCGAATTGGGATAACACGCACACATAACACGTAGCAAGCACATGCAACCCACATTACACATTGGGAAGGGGAATAAAGCGTATAACAACCTTATGCGTGATCCATCACGTACTAAGAATAGTCCTAAGGGGTTCATACTTCTTCCACCTAGGTCAACGGGATACCAATTCAACTAGCATGCAATATAATAGACTCATAAACCTACGAACGGTACCCGAAATATCAAACTAGACATAGGCACGACAAACGGGGTCCGTTGGGACACCACAGGGATCGGGGAAACATCAAACAGGGAAGCCGGGGTCCCGAGGGGGAAAGATTCCAGCGGGTAGCCGGTGGGTGGGGGTCCACCCGCCGGCTGCCCGCCGGCCATCACTGTTCCGGGCAGCGGGTGCCCGGCGGGCAGCTGCCCGCCCGCCGGCTGCCCGCTGCCGGAGCTGCCCGAATTGCCGCGGGTAGGTGGTGGGTCCCCTACCCCCCACCTACCCCCCACTGACTCTTTTCACCACTTTTCGTCCCGGGAACCATTGTGGAACCCGAAACCATGCTTAGACACTTTTCAACGTAATCAACGACAACACATAGACAATTAACAGATCAAATACGATAAACGAACGGCACATAACCTATCATGCTTTTCTAATCATAATCAACACCCAAACATGCGATTTCCCCACCCGATAATCCAAGAATAATATCATACGATACAACCTAGGGTTCTAATCACTTTTATATCAATCACGAATACAATTCGTCTTCTAATTGCAAGATTCGGTAGGAACAACACATAATCATCAAGGATACCAATTAATCATCAAAAACATCATAATCATCAAGAACAACACATAATCATCAAAGCCCCAATTGATCATCAAGAACATCATAATTATCAAGAACCTCCCAATATCAAGATTATCAAGATTCCTCACGGAATCATTATATCGACATCAATAATAATCATCATCAATCGCCATTTACAACAATATGGGGGAAACCCTAAGGGGAAATCATAGCTATGAAAATAGGTTTTGTTGAGACATGGATTACCTCTTAGCCTTAACTAATTCCTTGGCTATGAAGGATCTTTCTTTAAGCTTTCTTGCTTTCTTGATTTCTTCTAAGGGAATTCTTGTAGCTCTCCTGGGGCGATGGGGCGTTTAGGCGTGTGGGCAGTTCTAGGTGTCTCCTAAGTTCCCTATTTATATTTTTAAGACTCCTAATTAGGGCCTGAATGGTATGGGTTTACTAATTCTATTCCTTATAAGACTCAGGGACTTGCTTTAGGGATAAGGGTCCATATTAATTAAAGCGGATCCTAATCACGATCTGAATAGTAAAAGGCCTTCATCCTTTATTCCTAATAGATAACTAGGTCTAGGATTCCCAATTAGGATCTGAATAGTAAAAGGTTTACTATCTTTATTCCTAATAGGCTTTAAGCCTCTAATTTAGGCAAGGGTCCATGGTTCATGGTGGACCCTATTAATTAATTAAAGGGGAACCTAACATAATTAATCATATTTAATTATTATTAGCGGGATTAATTAAATAATTAATCCAGGGTTAAAGGCCGTAACACGGGGTGTTACACCCTTCTTGTAATCTCTCTTGATATCCGTTTGAACTATTGTTGTGAGCTTGTACTCTTGTTGTATCTTATATTCTTGAGAATTCCATGAATTGAGCTATCTATTGAGCTTATTCGTTGTTGAATACACTTCTTGTGAAATCTATTCCTTTGTTTGATCTCTTATGATTTCTTGTGTATTGAACTCGTGTTGTGATGATTGAGTTGGAACGGTGGACAGTGTGGGGATTTCTTACAGATTCGGGATGTTGGTTTTACGGACAACCTGTCGAAACGAATCTAGGTTGTCAGACCTATTTCTACTTATTGGGGGTTGGAGGTTCCAATAGGGGTGTATACACTTAAGGATTTATTGCTATCTCCAAGGGTCTTTGACCCCGCGAAACGACGATTATATCCTGTTGAGTCGTTGCGATGACTCTGCGGAATCTTTTGAGATGGTGGTTTACCACAATAGGGTCGTTGCGATGACCTTGAGTGCACCTCTTATGTTACTTGCTGACTTTGAACCCTCCACACTGATTCACCATTTATTCGAGTCATTGGGATTGACTCCGTGATGTATACTTGTTGATTGTGTCCTTTGCGGACTTGGTAACTTGAGATTTATGTTGATTGCATAACCTTGATGAGAACTATCTTTGTTGCTTGCTATGATTGTCTTACCTTGATC